ATGTCGACAATGTTGACATCGATGAAGAAGATCACCTCAATAATAGCGACAACGCTATTATTGACTCGAATGATGATGACGATGCTGGTATATTCAGCATCGTCAACGATTATTCCAGCGAGGAAAAAGACAACCTCGCTGAAGAAGAGGAGAACCTCTTAGCAGTGCGCACGAAGCGCACTGAAAGACAAAACAACGAGTCAGCAGAGAACTTTCTGCTGACTCGAGATGCGGTAGTCCGTTTCGTTCAGGACTCCATCGCAAATGCGGTGGACCGCCAGAAACGGAACGCAGACAAGAATGGAAGAGCAAATGTTCTTTCATTTAATGTTAATGACCTAGTACTACTGTCTACGGTAAACTTACCTGGACATGCAGTCACTAGTGTCGGCAGTAGTAAACTACTGCCGAAATACGTTGGGCCATTTCGAGTGTTGCATCGCAAGGGCAATGCATACACTATCGAATTGCCACGTAGGATGCGTGCGCATCTTACGTTTTACGTGGGGCGACTCAAACCGTACTGACGGTACGAGCCTTCTTCTTTCGATGAAGATAGCTCCCACGTTCAAGAACATCCATCAAGTTCTTGCGTTCGCGCTCCAGAAGATACGTCTGGTCGCGCAGATAAGATACCTCGGAGCTCAACCGAGATATCTCCCCGCGAGCTGTCGCCAGCTCGCCGGAAAGGAGCGGACATCCCGCTCGACCTGAAGCTGCGCTGTGGTGTAATCGGCGCGGTCTCTCGCCCGATCAGCCTCGCGATCCTTGCGGTTCTTCCGCACGGTATCGGTCAAAGCGTAGCGCCGGTCGCGCTCGTGCTTCAGGTCATCGAGCAATTCATCGATTGCGCGATCCGTCTCGTAAGGGTCGAGATGGTGAGCAGAATCATCTGGAGGAGGTCTTTACTCCTCCACCACATCCTTTGGTGGATTCTCACGGTGGTCTTCGCTTTCTACTGGAGCGTATCTTGAATCACCGTGATGATTCAGGATCAAGGACGAGCTACCTCGTCCAGTGGCGGGGTTATCCACCCTCTTGGAACAGCTGGGAGCCCCGCTCTCAGCTGTTGGTGGACGTTGAAGGTCTCGTTCACCATTATGACGAGATTCATCCGATTGGTCCGAGGGACCATCGGTAAACACGCGCTTTCGGCGCCTGTAGACGGATTGCAAGTTTGAAGTCGCGTCACGCATCTCAGCCGAGATGTGTGCCCTTCCCCAGGGCGAACTTAGGGAATAAACATCCCTCTGCGCACGTTGCGAGTTGTCAACACAACTCGCACAAGGGCCTCCCCAAGTGAGGCATGGAATGTCGACCTCACTTGAGAAACAGTGCAACCGGTACCTGGCACCGGTTGGCGTTCGCTTTTCGAACCTGAGGCGTGTCGCCTCAAGCTTCTTGAGCCACCCTTCTCGTCCAAAATTCTTTACGTTTTGGACGAACGCGTTCCACGCAGCCAAAAGCGAGGCCTTGTCACGCTTTTGGTTGCTGTTGTACCATCGATGTCTAAGAAAGACATCGGGATAAAAATCTTCTTCAGCGCGAAAGTTGCTCGCGCTGGGAGTCAAGCCGTGAAGCTCAGTCGAATCGAATAAGAATATTCGATGGTGTTGGCTTGTCTCGTGAGACAAGCCATTGATGAGCCGTTCAGGCAAACGCCACGGCTTCAGCCCATCACGCTTCACAGTGGTACCCTTATCGGTACCACGGTTGTCAGTATGACGATGGCTTGCACCATCGTCAAGTCGCTCGTGCGAAGGAGCACGAGCTGATTGCGGTGATGAGCAAACATACTCATCATCAGATTTTTCATCACTGCCGAACATACTGTGTTGCAACTCACGAGTCCGCTCGTTCGGCAGTGATCTTGGCGAATACTGAGGCGTAGCCGGAGATCGAGACGCCTCTGCAGCATTGCCCGAGTCAGATACGTCTGACTCGCCAGAGTAGATGACCTCAATGTCGGGGTCATCATGCGCACGCGGTGCTGTACCGCGTGCACCTGCAGCACCTGTTGCTTCAGGCGAAGAACGAGCAGCAGACGACGAATCGTCTGCCGCAGAAGCTGTCACAGGCACAGACTCTGTGTGCCTTGAGTCACCCCGCATAGACATGTTAACTATGCGAGGTCAGGTTGAGTTATGAACGGAACTGACCCAACAAGTGCTCCCTGTCCCAATGGCAACCAACGGGTGGCCGCCATATTTTCGATAGTCACACGGTGACTATCAGTTAAGGCGGGGTGATGTAACGGGGCAGCCCGTTACATGGAATTGTCACTTTAAAAGAAAGTGACAATAAAGAATATTAAGTGAATATTCTTTGAATAATATCACCAAAGTGGTGATATTGGTGAAGCGACCAAAGGATCTGCTCATTGGTTGATATCTTGATGATATCAACCCACCAATCGCCGCAGGACGCGCGCAATGAGTGGTGACGAGACGTCACCATACACTCAGGTATATTAGCATAATTAAGTCAGGTTAAACAGAGAGACAGTGGATAAAAGACTTAATTATATTAATACAACAGTTTTACTTTTCCCTTATCTACGCTTCCTCGTTTGCCTCGTGTACGTCTGTCGGGGCACCCAAACCCTTGCGTTAAGTTCACGCAAGGGTGTGCCCCGTTACACATGCGCGTCGGAAAAGAATCATAAGACTGTCATTTAGAGCCAAATAGTCTGTCACTATCCTTACATTCTTGTCCTGTGATCGCCTTTTAGATCCTGGCGTTGTCCACTGACCCCTGTACATCAATAAAACCGGTGACGCAGTTGTGTGCAAAACCAATTTGATTTAATCTTGTTCTGCCAGCACGTGTGCTCATTCGCGGTAGAGCTCGTCAACTCTAACATATTGCCCTGAAGTTGCAGAAGAATTAATTAGCTACATGCCAGAGCCAAACTTAGTGTGCCGTAACCGGGTCACGGTCCTACCGTGTCCCGATGATTCCGTACCGATGGTCCGCGTACATTCATAGGAATGCAGTTGCGTAGGAGGTGACACATTGAATGCAAGGCTCGGCCGGTTGGGGGCTAGTTCGCCTCCTATTGAATCGGCGGGGACCCGGGTAGGGTCGTGGTTTCCCCATCAGTTTGATTCCGTTCTTTGAGCTTCTCTTAGCGTAGAATTCGGTGCTACGTACCGCTGTCATTTTGTCATCTGTGAAGACGAACACAAATTACGACCCAAATACAACTGATTATATGCATTTGTGTAGTTGGAGATCGAGTTGGCGCCAGGTAGTCTTTCAGTTGGCGCTGTTTAGCGCGTCCCGTCCAACACCTCGCTGACATGACGTGGGACCGAATTGTCTGCTGCAGCATCATGAAGTGTAAAGCAAACAGTTGTGTGCGTGCGTCTCAATCAATACCAGTCGCCTCTTTCCCGTGCCGCATTTCCATCTGCTGGTACGGCAGCTGTTCTTCCCGTTGAAGCCGCCACGTCATCTTTTGTCCAAGACGTAATTGATGGACGGGAGACTACGAACCTGACACGATGTCAGATCCGGTGTCGTCGTGCTAATCCGACCTGCTCGAAAATCAGGTCTCCTTGAACTGGGCTGATGTACTCCTTCCCGCGTGTGTTTGAACGTACCTGGTCCGATGAGAGCAGAACCGATCGACAACTTTACCGAGCTTCAATGTCGCATTTTCTACGACCGAAGAGCATCACGTCTGCCAAGTTGTCGTTCTTTATAGCTGGTCCGAGAGAGTTACCCAACGTCGAGCATCGTATTATGTATAGTTTGTATTCCGTGCGTGGCCCACGGCACCTGCGCGAGCTCTTGACGCAGCCGACTCCCCACCCACTTACTCGCACAAACCAATTCGCTCACCACCACCACAGTCAGCACAAGAGTACCAGTTGACCCAATCGCGTACTGACCGTCGTTCCAGAATGCGCGTCCTCTGCTTGGCACTCGTGTCGGCTGCTGCTCTAGCCGCCAGTGCCCATGGACTTCAGGCCGAGTCCGACGTGGCTTTGTCGCTGGAGACAGCTGCCGAGAATCGGCTGCAGCTCTTTGGCGAAGGCAAGACCGAGCGATTCCTGAAAAGCGAGGAGCAAGAGCTGCCGCTTGCGGTAACCTCGGCTGACTACGCGGCTCTACTGGGGCAGGAAGATGGCGTGGGCAGACGCTTGCGCAGCGCGGACAACGACTTCGAGTCTTTCGACGAAGAGAGGAAGAGCAAGAAGTGGAAGAGCAAGAAGAGGAAGGGCAAGAAGAAGAAGAAAGGCCTTTTTGGCCGAGTTGCCAAAAAGGCTCGTGGTATTTTCAAGCGCCGCAAATAACGCCACGGTGACGACTACGACTCTGAAGAGAGCTCAGCGTCGGGATCTTCTTCGGGTATCGACCCGCCGCCCCCACCCCCGAGGAAGAGGTTGTGGATCAACTGGCGTCGGTAAGTCTGCACCAACGACGGACAAGTCGAGCTGACATGTGAGTAAATTCACATGCCAAGTTTACTTGAGCAGTTGTGCTGCGCCGGGGCGTTTAGACGAAAGCTGAAACGCGTTCATAACTGTGAGCAGAAGTTCATGCGATAGTAATATGATGGTTGATCCCCTTGCACATCCGAAATGACGTTCCATGCATCGACGGTTTGCGTAGTATCCTCCACCTGTGTGACAAGATGCCGCTTCGTGGCGATGATGACACCGCGAAAAACGGTACTCTGTGCAGCTATAAGTACCACCAACGACAAGATGAACGACCGTGTGAGACCCCGCGCTCGCTATTTAAACAAACATGAAGTGACGTGCGTGACGTGCTCACGTGCTAGTAGTTAAGTCGCTTCCTGGGGCACGTAGAAGACCACAATATCGTGCCGTGTAATCAAAAAGTGAGCTACATGATCACGTTTCAACACGTGTCGCGTCAGTTGGCTACATGCAGAGCATAGGCACACTACCGACGCCTCGGGTATTCGTAACAACCATGTCGCCTACGTCGCATGCAGTCGGTTACCATCCGTACACAAGAAGGTCCACACACACATGACACCAACAACTCGGTCTCTTGCGGTAGTTGTCTGGATGGTTTGCATGGGCTAAATCGACGATACACGTCCGATTACAACAAAAGACGCAGCTACCGAGCGCATGCGCCAGCGTCATCGCTGGGCCAAGGACTGCGTCCATAGCAATAGGCTGCAGTACAGTGCTAGCAACACAAAGCATTGCATCAGTGCAGCAGCTTTTGGTTCCGACCATCGCTTCATGCTTGATGCTCCTTCAGAGTGAAGTATTGACTTAACTGCTGCGCGAGTCATGGAAGACAGATGCGATGGTTGGTGCTGGCCTCATGCAGAGGAGATTCAACGACTGTCGAGGACGGATACTAACCTGGAACGATCATGCGCATCGCAACCGGAAGAATGGGTCGAACGTTTGTTTTTAACAAAGGCGCTACGTCCAACTTCGCGAAAAATGGTCAGCGAACGCTTGCAATGGAGTGTCTGGTGGGTGTTTCTTATATTGTCCAGGTGTCTGGATGGTCACGGCTATTGAAGGCACCATCATCGACACTTCACATCGCAGAATTCGGATAAAAGCGGTACCACGCACATGTACCGGTTGCTAGGTCATCAGTGCATCGAGTTGACGTGATTGCAACGTGCGCAAACAATACGCACACCATTTGCTGCTCTGCACGCAGTGACAATATCCCTTTTTCGCGTGGTGCACGACATACCTGACATACTTTGGAATGACATCAATACTACTGCACTAGCTTCGAGGTGCTTCCTGAGGTAGACGGTGTTGGCCGACTTCTGAGGTTTCTCTGCGGAAGGGAGCTGTGCAAAAGATCTTGAGTGGACGAGCACATTCTGAATTGACGTTTGATCGACATTGCATTGCTGGATGCCAAAGGACCTTCTCAAGTTCTTTCGCATCGATGGGTGAGGAGCATGAGAAGCTCAAGAGCCCTGCTGGACGTTGTTGTAGCGTCAATGCATAGTTTTTTCGCAAGAAGCTATGGCCTTCTACTTTGTCCACCATACGCGTTCTTCGTGCTTGTCCGTCCTGTCGGCCGATACCATCTACCTATAACTTTGTAGGGCGATCCATTCGTCATTGGCGACAGACAACACGTCAAGGTCTGTGCATCATGATTGCTCAGTGGCTGCTCTATTTACAGTCAGGTTGACGTGCTTTATGGTGTGCGTAGCAGCTTCGAGGAGGAGTCATGGGAACGAGACAACGTCTTGAGTAAGTCTTTACCATTGTCCTTGTGAATTTTGGCGTTGTCAAACGCTTCATGGTGACTTTGTGTCACTTAAAGTCCTCTGCGCGATTGCTGCTGGTTCCACATGAAGTTGAGAGTCAAGAAGATCCTCAGTAGCACAAACTGCGTCGAATTAGTCTGGCAAGACCGGTGTTCGAAGTGCGAGCGTAGGAGAGAGAATGGAGGCTGGTGTCACAAAAGCGAGCATCGGCGATGAACGAGGTTTGTGCGAAGAACTCGGATGACGGCCGTGCTCATTCTGGAGAAATAGAAATCATGAGCTCCGAGAAGCAGGACGCGCCTCATCGAAACACGAAGGACGAGCTGTAACGAGGCAGCCCGTTACATGAAATTGTCATTTTAAAAGAAAGTGACAATAAAGAATATTAAGTTGAATATTCTTTGAACAATATCGCCAAAGTGGTGATATTGAAGGGTCGACCAAAGAGTCTGTTCATTGGTTGATATCTTGATGATATCAACCCACCAATCGCCACAAGACGCGCGCAATAAATGGTGACGAGACGTCACCATACACTCGGTTATATTAACATAATTAATTTAGGCTAAACAGAGAGACAGTAACAAAAAGACTTAGTTATATTAATATATCAGTTCTGCTTTTACCTTATCTACGCTTCCTCGCTTGCCTTGTGTACGTCTGTCGGGGCACCCAAACCCTTGCGTTAAGTTCACGCAAGGGTGTGCCCCGTTACACCTGGTATCAATTTGTAGTCCTTCCAAGGACCACAGCATCCAACATGAACATGTTGGATGACGAAGAAACCTTTCACGCCACGCGTAAAGGGTTTACCCATTTGAGTGACATCGAATGGAGTGCGGTAGAACGAATGAGTTCTACCGTAGGCGAGTTCGCCATTAGCGCCATGTTGAAGTCTCTAGACAGAGACCAACAACATGCCGCTATAGCCAAGTTCATCCAAAGTGAACTTGTCGCCGAAAGGGATAAAGTAGCCTTGCTTCACTAGCAAGGCTCTCAACAGGCCGAGCAGTTGAGAGAACTCGATGCTCAACAGACAGAGCTGTTGAGACAGCAGGAATTCCATGCTGCTGTGGGCGGGACGGCACATGCGCGTCGTCCCGAGGTCATGAAGGTTGGCATCTCCAAGTACAGTGGAGTCCCGAAGGACTCCCTGTTACTATGGTTTGTCGAACTCGACAGAGCCCTAAGGGCTCGTCGCGTCGAAGATGAGCAAATGAAATTCACATTTGCTCAGACCCACTTGGCAGGGCGTGCCAAAACTTGGGCCCTGGGGCTCGATAGTAGCGTCCCAAATGTGTTTAGGTCGCTAGATGACTTCAAGTCCCGGCTCAGACAAACGTTTGAGCCGCCACGGGCTGAGTCCAGGGCTCGTTCTGAGATACTGAAACTCAAGCAGGGTAAGCGTGATGTGCACGCTTACGCTCAACATATACGACTCCTCGCGAGTAGTGTAACTGCTAACCCGGTAAATGAACACACGTTGATTACGGTGTTCATGCAAGGGATCGCAGAAGGGCCCGTCAGGAGCCACCTGTTCCGCCTTGAGCTGAATACGCTGGAAGAAGCGATATCAGCCGCAGAACAGGAAGAATTTAGCATGAGACAGGCTCATGCTAGCTCAAACTCTTACCGTCCACCAAGACAATTAGATACTGGGGATCCAGAACCAATGAACCTCTGCTATGTTGAGAGCGAGAGACCTCGCTCTTCAAACAACAAGCGATTGCAGAGGTGCAATCGCTGTCAGAAGTTAGGGCACTTCGCATATGAGTGTAGTGCTCCACGCCCAGCACCAAACAGTACTGAGCGAAATGGACTTCCATTCGCCAAGAAGGGCAATGGGCGTGGGTCCAGCGCTGTTGCGGCTTCGCAATAGCGAAACGGACCATCGAAAAATGGTCGGGGTCAGTAGGGGCGGAGCGCCCTACTGATCCAGCAACCTCAAGAGAATTTGCAAATCTCTTGACGAAAGTTGCTCCAGATACACAATCATTGTGTGTCTCTGCACCTGGTGATGACGTTTCGCTCATCACCTTGAAGTTGGAAGCGACAAATGATTTGTCGCTTCGTGCCCTAGTAGACTGTGGGGCGTCGAACAACTTTGTTCGTCGCCAGTCACTAGAGGGTCGTAGGCTCAAGTTCGTTGAGCGCGACATTCCCCTCACGAGGATGACGGTGCGCCTTGCAACAGGCGCATCGATTACCGTTGAGAAACGTGTAGTAGGAATCCACTACACGTTCGAGGGCGACCATTACGATGATGACTTCATCGTACTAGATCTGGATGACACATTTGATGTCATCTTGGGATTATCTTGGCTCAGAAAATACGAGCCAAGGGTGAGCTGGCAGCATCGATCCGTGAAGATGCCTGCCGCTTGTTCATCAGATGGACATCTGATGAACATCTCGGAGCGTCCACAAGCGTGTGGATGTTCTGCGAGTGAGTGCGATGGCCTCACTTGCGGTACGGTCGTTAGCACGACTGCACAAGATCACAGTGTAGTTGATCACTACACTTTTGAGCAAGCTCCCGGCGGCTGTACAGGAGTACAGGCTGCGCCGAAGGTCCACCACTCGAAGAAGTCGAGTGGACCGGGACATGGATGCATGCCTAGCGGGCAGCATCGTAGAAGCAAGATTAAACCGGTTGCCCAAAAGCGGCAACACGGATATCCTAGGTCGACTGGATAGTCGACCGTAGAGGATCGGTCCCTGACTGTGGTTGCACAGCCACAGTCGGAAGACGTCGAGGAAATAAGTCCCCACGTACTTGAGGAAGGAATTCCTCAAGAGTCATTTGCTGAAGGATTAGGCCCTCAGCAACATGTGGAACGAAGTTCCCAGGAAGTAGCCGAGACGTTGAACGTCTTGGTTAATGACGGATTAAGAGTAGGCGCTTATACGCTTGATCTGATTGTGCCTCCGAAGTTAACTTCGGAGATAACTCAGTTGCCAACGCTAGAACCGAAACAGTTCTTGCGTGATCTGCGCAGTGGCAAAGTCAAGCAGATCTGCATACTCAGTGCAGAGGATGAGGATGTGGCCGATATTTGGTCG